GCCCGTCGCCGCGGCCGCTCGCTGGGGGTGCGGCTGCCGCGGGGGCTGCCCACCGAGGCGTCCCTGGACGAGTTGGACGCGCGGGACGGCGTCTCTCGGCGGCTGGACCGTCGCCTGCTCGACTGGCATCCAAAAGACTGTAACTGAAAGTGTAAAGCTTTAGTTATAGCTAGGTACTCGACCAACTAATTTTATGTTGTTTCACTTTATGCTATCTGAGTGAGAACGTTTGTGTATTACATTAAATATAGAGAGTTTCCTCAGTCATTAACTGAAGTATTAGGTTGTTCAGGTTCAGAAAATAGTAAGAACACACACTTATCTTTATAAAAACCAATCGTAAAGATTAGTGCTTTATTTTAATCAATGAGTCCTGCTGCTGGGCAGCGATGGTAACAATTTTCAATTTTAGAGGGACTTGTGAATCAAATTATCAGTTCTGGAAAACATTGGGTAACACAACATTATTTTAGAAATGAATAGATGAAAGGGAATAAAGGTCAAGGATCCTCCTTACAACTCAGTCTGTTAGTTCCTGCTCCACGAGCACCTCAATCAGCCCTCTATGTGACATCGTTTTATTATTAAAAATTGAGTGAGTTCAATGACAAAAAACATAACATGTCCTGCGAGGGGGCATTCTTAATTAAAAATACCTAAGATACTTGAATTTGCTAAAATGTGGTAAATCTGGAGATGGAAACAACCAGGTCTCAAGTGAAAACTCATAGGACACACACACCATGGGTTCATTTGATATTTATATGAATACTTCTAGACAATATCATAAACATGAAACAGCTGATGAACTGGTATGTATTGCAACTATTCTAGTCTACACCATTCTACAGTAATGTATTCTGCTAGAAAATGGCCTAATGCGTAATCTAATCTGGTAAATATTGATTTACTACGGTACTGACTACTTTACTGCAGAAAGCAGCGCTGACCTAGAGTGAAATGACTAATATAATAGCTTGATGCAAGATTCTTTGTAATTGTGTTCGTTTGGATTTAAAAGATGGTCTCTCTCTTAAAGGCCAACACTTTGGGAAATAGTTCACATTTATTACATGATATGATGCGAACAAACCATCAAGCTAACATTTTCTGTTCATTTTATAAAACTATTGCTACCAGGTAAGTCTATCCAATTCCATCTAGCCTTCTGAATTTTAAACCTATGGTTGATAATAAATTCATATTACTGCAGGATCCATGTTCAACATATTTTGCCTTGAGATGAGTGCAAAGAGTGTCATGAAAAATGACCACAAAAGTTTCTCTTATTACATAGTTTTATGAAATTCACCAAAAAGTCTAATATGGCAAACATGTTCTTACAAAAGCTGTAAATGTTCTCATCATATGAAACCCACACTTCCAAAACACAACAAAAACTAAACAATAAAACAATCATATCAATATCTCTTTAACAAAAAATCTTTGGATTCGTATTCAATATCACTGTACATAACTAATTGTAAACATTAATGATTCTTTTACAATATGTCTATTTTCTGTACAGTATGTAAAATAGTCTTAGACTACACTCATAAATATTTACATGAGGGAGCCCTTCGGGCACTTATTCATCAGGTCTCCTCCTTACTGGAAACACAAAGGTAGGACGAAAAGGGTGTTAGTGCCTTTGAAAAGGAATTAAAATTTAGCACCCCAACACAAAGGTAATAAAAACTACCCAAAGATGCTTAATTGTTATGAATCTTCATACATTTTCCTACCTTTCCCATGGGGCCTTAAAATTTCACATTCTTTAAAAGGCATTTGAAGTCCTACCTTTGCTTTTCCAGTGCTGTCATAGGAAAGTTTAAGTACACGAGTTGCATGTTTTTCTGGCCACTAAAATACAGTTGGAATGCTGACTGGCTGACTGGCCGCACAGCTACGCTAAGCTTTGCTAAGCTACGCCTGCACCTGTAGGCTGGCGGACTGCGTCTCAAGACTGTGCTTGAGCTGCTGCAGGGTCTCCATGAGCATGGCTTTCCTCCGAGCGTCCTCCTCGTCCGCGGCGTCCTGCACCGGCGTCCCTGGGAGCAGGAAAAAAAAAAAAACACAATTAAAAATGTGTTTTGTTTGTTTGGCTTTTGAAAAAAATAAATCAAGTGATGACCAGTAAGAGCAGAATTTTGTCATGGGGTTGGCCAGGAACTTACTCGGCATTATCTCGGTGTGCTCCAGCTTCTTGCTGAGGCGGTCCAGGGTCTGACTGCCGGCGTACACCTTCCTCTTGACGGGCTCGCTCTGCGGACACACGTCCAGCACGTCCAGACGCGTGTCCACGGACTTGTAGGTCACAAGCGGCGGCCTGCTCGAGGTGGGTGTCGTCGCCGTGCTCTTGGCGCGCCGGTCAAAGGGCAGGGGCACCGCCCTGGACGGCCTCGGCGTGATGCAGCCGTCCGAGTCCGAGGAGCTGGCCTCGATGGCCGTCCAGCCGTTTGGCGACGACAGTGCGGCGGCAGGGGGCGGCGGCAGCGCCTGCAGGTTCAGCTGGAAGGGCTTGCTGAGGCGCGGCGCGGCGGGGGCGGGCACCGCAGGGGGCTCGGCGGGAGCCGGTGGGGGCGGCGAGGGCGCGCGGGGGGCGCGCGCAGTCACGGTGCGCGGGGGCGGCACCGGGGGCGGCCCCCTCCGCCGACCGCCGGGCGTGGACGCGGGTGAAGCGGCGTTACCGTTGCACGACGCCGAGGTCGTGACGGCCGTCATCTGGGCGGTGCGCGCCTGGAGCGCGTGGTTCACGTTGTCCACGGGCTGCTGCTGCTGCTGCTGCTGCTGCTGCTGCTCGATGCGCCGCACGTCGGACAGCACCGGCGTGAAGCACTGCTTCCTGTCGTGCAGGGCACGCCGGGGCATGGCGAGGGGCGACCACCGGTTCCGGTTCTCCTCCGCGTTGTCGTTGAGGCGGGGGTCGCGGGCGAGCGGCGAGGGGGCGAGCGCGGCGGGCAGCGGCCCGGACGGCCCCGCGCCCTGCAGCATGCCCTGGCGCAGGTGGTCCAGCCGCCGGTTCAGGTTGCAGGGCAGGTGGTGCCGCTTGGACATGGGCGGCGTGCCGTAGTGCGGCGCCGCGGTCCTGGACGGCAGCACGCTGCCCAGCGGGCTGGCGAGCGGGCCGCCCGTCATGCTCACCAGGATGTGCTCGGCCTGCATGATGAGCTGCCGGTACTTGCGGTCCGCCTCCCTGTCGGCCTCCGCCAGGGCGTGCTCGGCGTGGGGCGTGCGCGCGGGGGCCGCGGGCGGCTGGTGGTGGTGGCGGCGCGCGCTCAGCGGCGTGCTGCCCGCGCTGCGGGTGCCGCCGAGCCCCGGCGCGCCCAGCTCCGCCAGCTCGGCGCTCCGCAGCAGCAGCCGCTGCATCACGATGCGGTTGAGGTTGCCGCCGTGCGCGGGGTCCTGGAGCTGCGGGGGTGGCGCGGCCTGCGGTGCTGGCGGGGCCTGTCGGGCCGCCGCCCGCCGCCGCGGCCGCTCGCTGGGGGTGCGGCTGCCGCGGGGGCTGCCCACCGAGGCGTCCCTGGACGAGTTGGACGCGCGGGACGGCGTCTCTCGGCGGCTGGACCGTCGCCTGCTCGACTGGCGCCGCCCGGGTGGGAAGTTGTGGAATGAGCAGTGGCCGCGGTTCACGAGCCGGTCCTCGCAGCACGACACCTGCTCCGTCAGCGAGCACCGGTCGATGAAGTCCAGATCGCCTTCGTCCGTCTGCTCGTCACCTGCGTCTGCGTCGTCCACGTCGTCACCGTAATCCTCAACGTCCGTGGGGTCGCTGTCGCTGAGGATGTCCGTCTCCTTCTCGTACACGTAGCTCTCGTCGAACTTGCCCATCATTTCGTTGAGCGTCACGTCCTCGACGTCTTCGTTGTCGGAGAGGTTCGGCGGCGAGCCGTTGTTTGCCGTCCGGGAGGACGCGGACGAGGACGACGACGACGACCGCTGCTGCTTGGCGCAAGGCGCGCGGCCGCGGTGGTGTCCGCCCGAGGCGCCCGCCGCCCGGGAGCAGCCGCTGAAGGTCGAGCCGGAGGAGGCCGACCGCGGCGCTGCTGCCGTGGGTCGGTTGCTCGCCCGCGACGCTCGCCCGCAGCCCGCGGCCGTGGAGCCCGCGACCGGCAACGGCGAGTGTCTTCTGCAAGCAGAACTGCACCCAGGTGCGTATGAGGGACCCTCCCACCGCCGAGGCCCTCCCCTCCCCTCGGACACTGGTTACTCACGGGCTGGGCTGCGCGGGCCCCCGAGGCAGAGGCTTGTCCTCCACGGAGGGGCTCTCCTCGTTGAGCTGGAACAGCGGCTGCGGCCGCGCCGCCCCCCTGCCGCTCGGGCCGCCCCTGGAGCGGGCCCTGCCGTGGCCGCCGGGGGCGCGGCGCTGGAGGGACACATCCGAGGCGGACCCGTAGGAGGAGGACGAGGACAGCGAGAGCGACGAGGAACATCCTGCTAGGAAAGAGGGAGAGAGAGAGAGAGGTACATATTAATGGAGTCAGTTCTTACGCGTTGAACACCTCAATGGTGGGAGAGGTTTAATCTTACAAACTGCAGGTCCTCTGGTACTTTCTGATACTTGAAAATTACATGTCATTATTGCCTGCCTACCGAGAGCCTGTCTGCTGTTTGGCTGCTGCACATGCTGCTGCGGGTACTGCTGGTGCTGCTGCTGGTGCTGCTGCTGCTGATGGTGCTGCGGTTGCTGCTGCTGTTGCTGCTGGTGCTGCTGTTGATGTTGCTGCTGACTGCGTGTCGGTGCCGGGCTGTTGGGCAGCCAGGGGTTGGTCCGGATCCTCGTGCGCGCGCGCGGCGAGGAGACACACTGCGGGGGAGCGACACAGCAGGTGTGAGAACAGAACAGAGGAGAGGCAAAAGTATTCTGTAGTACACTTTTTGGAACAGTCGATGGACGTTATTGTTACTACCAAGTAAATTCTGTAAGGCAAACATAAAGAACAAGACGAGCATACTGTGAGACGTCCGGACGTCTCCTCCTAGCAATTTATCTTCATAAATAAATACCTTCCCGTACCTCCCTAATCAAAATAAAAGTGAACTCCATAAAAATAAAATAAAGAAGCGGTAAAATGGGGCGGGCGCGCACATTGATTTCCTGTCATGAAACCGCAGGAGCCGCAGAGCCCTTCTGTAGGAGGCTTCCTCCTCAAACCAGCAGGTGAGGCGAAGACTGATGTCGAGCCACGTGGGGCCGAAGGGAAGGAAGGGGGCGGTCGTTTTGATTAGTGGAGCGGGCAACGAATCTGTCAAACTTGGTTGCGTGTGGGATGACAAATCGCATCCTGCAAGAGGAACGAACGAACAGCCCTCCTGTCCTTTCCCATCAAAAGGGGGAGGAAGGGAACTCGAAAGTAGGACAGGGCGGCGGTCAGCCGAGGAAAAGGCCGGCGGGTGGGGGGAGGGGGAGGCAATAAAAAGAACCTAGCGGGAGAATGAGCCGAGCAATGCGATGATGGCAGGTCAGAACCACGTGACTACCTGGAAAAGTTTGGAATAAGCTTTTTACCAAATGTGCCATTCTAGGTAAAATATTTATTGTCCGAATAAATCGCACAACACAGAGATTCGGAGTGTCTGGAATTATTCGGAAAACCGCAATATTATGTAGGGGGCTTCGCAAACATTAGTTTACCTCTCAAAATACTGCAAAAAGTGGAGAAAAGTAAAGACTCCGAAAGACCCGGTAAAAAGAGAAAGAAAAGCAGCCGACTTCCCCCTCGGTTTCCTTCCTTCTCTCCCTCAGCCCCTTTCAGGCGGATCGGGCGGGGAGAAAAAGGTCCCTATAGGTGTTTGTGCGGGTTCGAGAGAGAGAGAGAGCGAACACAACTGGGCGGGCCTCAGGTCTATTTGCATCTCCTTCGCACTCACACAAAACTCGGGGGCAGCTGCTGTCTGTCTGGCAGTGTGGCCGGGGCTGGCCGTGTCCAGCCGTCTGAAGCCTCGTCAGCCCGGGGGAGGGTGGGGCGAGGGGGACCCTTCTGCTTAAAATATTATTATTCTCCCGTTCCCTTCTTTATTTTTCCGCCACTCGAGAATAATAACGATAATTGGAGGGCGGCGACTTGGAGTCGTCGAGGTCCTCACAGTTATGCATCATTTTAGTTTCCTCTGAGTGACGATGTGGAGTCCCCGTGGCGCTCCAGGGCGGTGCTGCGCTCACCTCAGCCGGCTGCCAGGGTCGCGCCGAGGAGTGCGACGACAGAGTGGACGACGAGGTGGAGGACGGGCGGCCGGCCTGCGAACAGAAAACACCAGAGCGATTATAAAAGCGAAGAAACGTGCAAGGCCGGCCTGGGGCCAGGCCGAGCCAGGCTCCCTCTCAGCGCCCGCGAGTGGCTGTGTAGGCAACCCGACGCACAGCCGTGCGCTGCGGGGCGCGCCGCTCTACTTCCCGGGCGGCCGGGCCGCCTTGCCTCCCAGCCGCTCCAGGCAGGCCGCCCCCAACCCTTCAACCGTCGACCATTTGTCTCGGAGAGAAGACGACAACGGCCAACTTTTCCGCTTTTAAATGCCAATGTCCACACGGAGAAGCGAGAGGACTTCCGTTTTTCTTGCGTCCGGGACATTCTCCGGAGGGACGCGGGACACCAAGGATCCTGGAAGGACGACCCGTAGGACTCCCACTCCCCCCCGACACTCTCAGTCGCTCAGCAGTACTTCTCGAACTATAGCATGGCTTTTGCTCATGAACAGGCTGAAAACGTAACGTATGTCGATTTTAATGGCTGCCTGCAATTTCAATTAAGGCTCACCACACCATGAGGGTGAGGGTATAGGGGACTCCAAGTTGGAGTATGTTGATTGCGAAAACTAAAGCGAACTCTTAGGACGCTCTCCATGATTTTTTTTCTTTTGCTGGGGGGGGGGTCGAGATATTCGGCAATCACTGCTTTTTTTTTACCCGAAATGAAGTCAAAAAAAGCGAGAGTAAACAAATGTATCAAAGAACGATTAATCCAAGTGGGCTAAAACTTTGTGCTCCGCCAAAGAAACCATGGCATAGATTGCCAGATTGTTTCGTTGTCCTCAGCCCCATAAATCACTGCATGGACATTGATCATGTTGCTCGGGGAGAGGGAGAAAGGGCGCAAGAAGGAGATGGAGCGCTGCAGGGGGAGGAGGGTACTGGGGCTGCTGGCTGGGCCGCACCAACAACTTTTGCCTTCAGGATGAAACGAGTTGCGCGGAGATGAGGGGCGGCAGCGATGCTCGTGCAATTTTATTCCGCTCATAAAATCTGCGAGTTCTCACCCTCCGTATTAATTACGAGCTGAGGGACGAGACGTCTGTTTCGCCACGCTCAGGAGGATAAAACCAGCAACAGCGCCGAGCAAGAAGACAAATGACGAGAGGACATTTAATTTTGGGGGATAAATTTTCATCTTGAAGTTTCGCTTTTTGATCCTTACCTTTCCGACGAGGTCTTCCTCTGTTGAGGACTCGGTCCTGGACAGTGTGAACTGCTGCTGCTGTTGCTTGTGAAACAGCTGCTGCTGCTGCAGCAGGGCCTGGTGTTGGTTTTGTTGCTGTTGCAGCAGGTGGAGGTGCTGCTGCTGCTGTTCGAGCAGAAGTTGCTGGTGTTGCTGCTGCTGGTGCTGCTGCTTGCGGCTGCGGCCCGGTGTCAGGTAGCTCAGTCGTGGTGGCTCCGGCTGCTGCACCAGCCCCGTCGGCCACGCCTAGGCAAGTAACACAAATAAGGATACAATGCGACGAAAAATGTAGAAACAGGTCGCGGCAAATCGTTCCCCTGGTACCGCGGTGGATCGAAGAAGCATACTTCAAAAACACTGTTTAAGTCTTACGAAGAAAAATGCCAAATCCTTTGTAATACGAAGGATTTGGATGCTTCGTAGGGAGCAAATCCTTCGTAGGTACGAAGCATTTGGCAATTTGCTTCGTAAGACTTTAACTGTGAAGATTAAGTAATTTTTTCGGGCTCATTAAAGAATTCGATAGAAAGATTGAATTAAGGCTGCTGACTCTGGTAAGGAATTGGTCGCCTTTCAAATGCACACTTCCGTGTTTGATGTAACGCTGTCGCTTACAGTACAATGTGTTGAGCCCGCAACAGTAGGAGTTGCGTCCCCATGTACTTACCCATGGCTGCCTGAGGTTCAGGGCAGGCTGGAGTGCCGGGGGCAGCGGGGGCAGCCCGGGGGGCAGGCTGGGGGGCGGGCCGAGGGCGAGCGGCCCCGGGTGGGGCAGCGGCAGCGGGGTGGGCCCGTGGAAGTAGTGGGTCCCGGTGCGCAGGTTGATGTAGTACTCGGGCGGGAAGGAGGCGCCCGGCGAGGTGCCGTCCGTGGAGTAGCCCGTGGAGTAGGCGCTCTCCGGGGAGCTGAGGTTCACGTGGGGCCGCAGTCCGCCGCGCTCGCTGCCCGTGGTCGGGCACGTCGAGATGGAGTCCAGGCTCTCGGCCGTCAGCGGCCCGCGGTGTAGCTGCAACACGTTGTCTTTGTTACACGCCTCTCCCTGTAAGCAGCAGGCCAACCCTCCAACGCAAAAGTTTTGAAACGGAGGGCTTGTTGCCCGGCGAGACTAGAGGCAGTCACTAAAACGTACCCCCCCCCCCCCTCCCTTGTGGTGTCCAATTGCAACATCCTCCTCCTCCTAGTCCTGTTTTTTCCTTGGCCGTGATATTACTGCATTTCTTGTCGCGGCACTGGAGATTTATCTTGAGGGAACGCCCACGAAGGGTCGAGCCGTAGGACGCACACTCGCCGCGGGACTGGGGGACTCGCCTTCTCCGATCGAATCGCATCCCTGATAAAAAGCTGGACGGCAAGACGAACGACGAGGAGATAACCTCGGCGGCAACAACCGAACAACTCAAGGTCCGGTTGCGCGGCGTGACAAGGGCGAGAGTGTTTGCAGAGCGAGTGAGGAGGAAGATGTGCACGGTGAACACCACGGTGAACACCTCGGTGAACACCACGGTGAACACCACGGTGAACACCCCGATCCCTGCTGTTATCCCCGTTTGCAAAATAGCCACTCGAAAAAAAGGCAAAAAACACCAATAAATGAGCTTTGTTTCCAAGCAGACTTTTTAAAAAAATAATCAAAACTATCATTTTTGTGAGGGTGAGGCAAGTCACGTAGGCACAGACAGCAGAAGGCAGCAGGCTATAAATTGCTGTTCATGTAACCACAAAAATGACGAAGATTTTGAAATGATGATGTGTTCTGATGTGTACAAAGTTGCGATTCTTCTAGAAAATTTTGGAAACGGGGAACTGTTTGGACGCCTAATTCTGTGCGCTGGGAATAAGAGACGCGTCCCGACCGCTCCGACCCAAAGGGCGACTCTAAAAGACGAACCTCAAACACAGAGGCTTGGAGCTATGCCATGCCACTCAGACCCTGCTGCTGGTTCAATTTGCTTTCCACCGAATGTCATTGCCGAGTCAAATGTCCACAAAGAGTTCCCGGACTTTCAGGGGAAGAATTAATTAATTGATGTGATGGTGGTGTGTTTTTCCTTGGACTGCTGCTTTCGAGCCGTCTCCCCCTTTCCATTCCCCCTCCCTCCACGTCGCCTCTTGGGAGCAACTGTAAAGATTGTGTTGAGGAGCACTCGCAATAAATGCATCGAGTGACTTCTCGACAACAAGTTCCCCGTTCTGTCCAGTAGAATGAGGAGAAATCGCCGGCGACCACATCACTCTTCCTATCGATATTTGTCATAAAAAGGGATGTTCCGGTTATTTCGCATCCCCGCATTTCCGTCCCCACCGTATTGCTGACATCGGCCGATCGTGCGTGATTTACAACAGTCCCGCCTATAGACTTGTCAGAGCGAGAGAGAGCGAGAGAGCGAGAGAGTGAGAGAGTGAGTGAGGGAGAGAGAGAGAGCGCGAGACAGAGAGAGAGAGAGAGAACTACTTATGAAGTTTGTGGGAGGGGTGCTGCCCATTCTTTTGCATCTCTTTCTAACCCCCACCCCCCTCCCCACCGTCGCGAGTAAATACCTCGGCCTAAGAAGCGAGGCCGGTCACCGCGCCACGCGCCGCGCCAGCCCGTGCCACGCCGTAAATCATACCGCGTTTCTGGCTGAGCCTCGGGCTGAGCCCCGCTGAGCCCCCCCTGCGCCCTTCGCGCTCTTTCGCCCCTCGACATCTGGTGGCGCCTGCTGCTGCTGCTG